TTTGCCAGTATCTTATGAAGGATTTTTGCATCTATGTTCATTAGTGAGATTGGCCTATAGTTCTCTTCTTTGACTGGGTCTTTCTCTTCCTTCAGGATCAAGGTGATGGTTATGCTGCCCCAGGTACAGACTTGGTGTGGGAATGGATGGAGCATGGTGCAGTCAGAGAATAAAGAGGAATGAAGTAAGAAGAGCTGCAGGAAAGTGAAGTCTTTGTGTTTTCCAGTTTGGTAACCTTTCTGGGCTCCAGGGACAGGGTGCTCTCTAGCACCATTCTCACCATCTAAGTATTTTCTTTGTTCTCCTGTTCAGTGAACTAGAAAAAGGTGTATTATAACGCACTTTGTTTCTTTTTCATTGAACCATATTTTTTGCTTAACAAAACTGTCAAAGATGCAAACCAACCTCAATGGAAACAGTTTCTAAAGTCTCAAAAATAATCTTAGAGCTTCCAGATCTCTAGGGCATATGTGTCCTGAGAGGAGAAGTGGAAAATTACACTTCAGTAGTGTTTCCAAGGAATCTTTAATTTAATTTATTGAAATACAAGTTCATTATAAATTCTGCTGATGGACTTTTTCTATTTCTTTTGAATATGTATATAAATATGGTTCATTTACTCAATAAATATAGTTGGGATTTTGTTGGGGCCTCATTAGGTAGGTTGATAGATGATATGAGGTCAGAACAATTTCCTCTCTCCAGGTCCTTAAAGAGTTCTCTCCTTGGAGTGTTAAAATGCAGAGTGTAAGATCACGACTCCACCAGTGCGTCCTCCTGCGGTGGCCGTAGCTCTTTTAAGGGTCCTGGAGGGAAGGAGAATGGTGATGGTTTTCTGATTTTTCAGATGAGGAAATGGAAGGCACAGAGCAGGTAGAGCAGTGGAAGACAGTGGAGGACAGAGTACCTGTGCAGGGACCCACGTGCTGCCTGCGGGTCTCAGAGGCCTAGCAGTGTTTTACCTATTGAACAGCCAGGGTCATCTCTTCTATACCTTTACTTAACAGCAACTGAGCAAGCTATTTCTTCCCAAGTTAAAAAAATAATGAAATGCAATAAAAGACCCCTTTTATTCCCTTGTATGTATTCATTATAAAAATCCTTCTGAAGGCATAGATAGGGGAATCATCAAAATGATCTCAGTGTAAAAAATGAGAGGATCTTTACTAGTTATCAAAATGTTATATAATTTATTAACAAAATATGATCACACCTAATTAGAAAATGTGGTGTAAGGTTGAACGGAAGGCATATGAACTGGCAGATTAAAACTGAGCAAATGGGGATATTGTAAATGACTTCATTACACAGGAGACTTTAGTCAGTGGAGGAACACTGAATTAGCTGTGTTGGGATGTGTGATAACAAACTTGGAAAAACAAAACCATTATAATACCTGACACTCTGTATTAATATATCCTAGAAATTTTAAATGTAAATTTAAAAACTAAACTAAAAGTAAATATAGGAAAGAGTATTATGGGATTGTGTAAATAAATCTTTTTCAGCATCACATTCAGGCCAGGACCATAAATACACTTGATCTTAGCCAAAAGGTGGAGAAGCAATGCCAGGACCATAAATAAAAATTGATTACATGAAAATAAATAAATCTGTAAAGCAAAATGCAACTTCAACAATATCGATAACAAGTTATGAAGTTGGAAAATAATTGTTATGTATGAGCAACAATGAATTATCATTGAGAGAGTTTCCTCAAATTAGAGAGTTACTACAAATCAATAATGCAGAGCCTAATAGACAAAAGCAAAAGATATATGAGCAAATCAGTAAATTGCAAATTAAAACCAAAGAGATAATTTTTTACCTGCAAGACTGTCAAAGACTACTGCTAAAATCACAGATACTTTTGATAATAGGAAGGCAAGAAATGTTGTTATGCAAAAAAATTGAAGGAAAAAAATGAAAATAGAGCTTTTGTAAATGGGGAGGGGATGAAGGGTTGGTGGGAGGAGAGGAGGGGTAAAAAAGGTGTGTTATGTACACGTGTAAATCTCCCTGTTGGATGTGATCTTGTGCACTGCGAAGAGGTACTAAAAACATCTTGATTCTAGTGTAACTTGGTACCAACTTTTAGACAAAAACTTGGCAGTATATATCCATACTTTGTGTGTGTGTGTGTGTGTGTGTGTACAAAAAACTGGAAAAGAAAGTTTTAAAAGTAGATGGGATACTAGATTTCCAACAGTTTTCAAAAATCCTTTTTATATTTTTAAAAATTGTTAAAATTGTTAGCTTGATGGTGCATATTTTTTTGTCCAAATCTATGAAACTATATTCAAAACAAGGACATTTCACAATATTAAGAGTCCACTTTTAACCCAAGTACCTTTCTGCAGATGTAAGAAGTCCCAAGGTCATGGGTGGAGAAAGGAATAATGCAACAGTCATCAAATTCATCCTTTTGGGATTCTCAAATTTCCCCAAGCTAAGGATGATTATTTTTGTCATATTCTTGGGGACTTACCTCTCCACAGTGGCGTGGAACCTGGGAAGCAGCATGCTGATCAGGATGGACTCCCGCCTGCACACACCCATGTACTTCTTCCTCAGCAACCTGTCCTTCTTAGATCTCTGCTACGTCCGCTCCACGGTCCCCAAGATGCTCTCCAACTTCTTCCAGAAGCGTAAGTCCATCTCCTTTGTGGGGTGCATGCACAGCACTTCTTTTCATCCAGCCTAGGCCTGATGGAGTGCTGTCTTCTGTCGGCCATGGCTTATGACCGCTACACCGTCATTTGTAACCCTCTGCTCTACACAGCCATCATGTCCCCTGGCCTCTGCGTGCAGATGGTAGATGGAGCCTACATAACTGGATTCTTTGGTTCACTGATCCAACTCTGTGGTTTACTTCAGCTCAATTTCTGTGGCCCAAGTGTTGTCAACGACTTCTTTTGTGACCTGCCTCAGTTATTAGTCCTATCCTGCTCTGAAACCCTTTTCCTGCAAGTCATGAAGTTTGTGATAGCAGTGATGTTTGGTGTGATGTCTGTCTTAGTTATCATGGTCTCCTATGGTTACATTGTTGCTATCATCTTGAAGATTAGCTCAGTGGAAGGCAGGTCCAAGGCCTTCAATATCTGTGCTTCTCACCTGACGGCGGTCACCCTGTTCTTTGGGTCAGGACTTTTTGTCTATATGTATCCCAGCTCTGGCAATTCTCTGGGCTATGACAAGATGGCTTCAGTCTTCTATACAGTGGTGATTCCCATGCTGAATCCTTTGATCTATAGTCTGAGAAACCAAGAAATCAGAGATGCCGTTAAGAGGTGTAAGAAGAAGCGAGTATTTTCCCGTTGCCACTGTTAACTAAAGGTCTTGTAGGCTCGTGACCTTGTTGACCAGAAGGTGCTGGACTCCAAAACGTAAAATGCATGCAGTATGATCCTGCCTCACTGAGTTTGTGACAGGACTGCGAGTCAACCCACCTAATCCAGGGCTGGCTCAGCACCATGCAAATCTTGTGGCTACTTTCAGTCTTTACAGATGACTCAGCTCCCCTACATCTAACCTCACAATGCGGCCGATATATCCTTTTTTATTAAGTGGCAATCTTCAGTTCTTCAGTTTGGGATCCTTACATATTCTTTCCCGACTTCACCATGCAGGCCAAAGAGAATGGGACTGAGCATGAGGCCAGTGATCTTTCTCATGCACCACATCACAAGTCATTTAATGACCGCTTTGTCCCAGACATCAAGCCCTTGGGTGCCTAGGCAAATTCCAACTGATCTTGATGGGGATGTGAGGGAAGTGTAATTGTAGACTAGGACCTAACCTCTCTGCCAAGGCAATATATAGAGAGACTTTGATTTCTAGTATTTTATTTTTAGAACTAAGCATCAATTGTTTGTAAATAAATGAACAAAGAGATTTCCGTGGTGTTGGCCTTCTCTGGGAAAGTGGAAAGATGGGTGATCTTTTGAACTACTATATTACTATATAGTGGGAAATGTTATGCTTCTTTTTTTGTTTTTGCTTTTGCTTTTTTGAAACAGGGTCTCACTGTGTGGTTTATGATGGTCTTGAACTCACTATGTATCCCAGCTGGCCTCGAACTCATGGCAATCCTCTTGTCTCAGCCTCCTGAGTGCCGGGATTACAGGTGTGTGGTACACACCCAGCTTGGAAAAGTTATTAAGGCAGACATGCCAGCATTGCTAAGTAATGAAAGATGTTGCATGAAACATTTTTTAGAAAATAATTTAAAATACATTTCTAAGCAGGCGAGAATGAAAGAAAATATCCAACATTCAAATGTGTATAAAGTAAAATCAGAAATTCTGGGAGCAAAAGCTGCTCAGAAGATGTCTTCTACGTGAAATCTGGTAATATTGGGTCTATATTCTGACAAAAGCCTGGGACTTGGGGAAAGAGAGACAAAGCCTGGGGCTGCCGAGAGTCTGAAAGGAGGCCCAGACACACAGGAGGGACCAATGCACTGTGCCTCCATGTGAGAGGGAACTAAGGGAAAAATCCTGTTTCACAAGAAAGGAAATCTTGACTCTCCCAGGCTTTGCACTGAGTGTCACACACCCGAATCGAAGCCTGTGGTCTGAATCCACATTAACTGGGCGGGCCATGGAATCTTTAACTGATTCCCTTAAAGGAGTACGGGCTTGGAAGCATCCTCGAGTCCATACTAGTCAGAATCACATGCAAATCCTCTCCAAAGATTTTTAAGAAACATCTGAATCCCAACTCAAAAAAGTCTGCCAAAATACCTTCTAAAGAAAATTAGGTTTCAAGCCTCAAAGTACACAAGGAAACAAGACTTTATGGGTAAAGACCTCTAGAAGGCATGATGTCACGCTTGAAGACTTCAGGAAAAACAATGATCTCAATGAAAACGTGCAATGGGTGGTATTCATATGTTAAAAGAAGAGAAATTGAGAATGTAATAAGAGAACAAGAAAAAGAAAGCGAATTTTACTGAGGATTTCTACATGTGGCAATAGGGTAATGTGACAGTCAATCATTGTTGTCACTGCCCCTCCACTGGACTAAGAGCACCTAGGAGATTAGCCAGGCTGTGCAGGGTGTGTCTGTGGGTGCTTCCAGGGATGATTGGCCTGAGGCCTAGCAGACTGATGGGGAGGGTGGTGCCACGGATTGGGTTGTAGTCCAGAGGGACCAAGAAGGAGAAGCGGGGGTCAGCCCGCATTTGAGGCTTGATTCTTCTTGAGCTCCTGCCGTGGCCCGTGGACATCTGACTCCAGCTTCTTCAGCCTTCAGCTCAGGCTCACTCCAGTGACCCTGCAGGACTCTTCTGCCTTCAGCTGGGCACTGTGTCCTTGATTCCTCTTGTTCTGATGCTTCCAGCTCCGGGGCCTGAGCTGCTCCTGGATCCTCCAGCTCCCCAGGGTGCAGATGGGCATTGCAGACTCTCCTGCCTTTGGAATTGCATTTCAACCTTATGAAGATGAGGGACATTTTGCTAAGACCTGATGAAGTGAAACCAGGTAAGTACACAGTGCCCAAATGGCCTTCACTTCGGGGGCCCTGGAGTGGCTGACCCTGAGCCTCTGCTGTTAAGACTGCAGGGGTGGGGGACCGAGTAAGCACGTGCCTGAGGGCCTGGGAGGGCCCTGTGCGGAGAGCCCAAAAAAACCAGAATTGCAAAACATTCTTGTATTGAAGTGACCATTAAAGAGGACAAGGCTGCTGGGACTCGTTATGGTGAAACTGATTAATGTCGCCTAGAAAGAGACACATCTTCCCCAAAAGAAGGCCTCCTGGGCTACGTCGGGGACCCTTAAACAGCAGAAAGAGCTAGGGGAACCCACGCAGTAAAATGCTGCTTGGCCGTGAAAGGAATGGAAGAACGGACATGTGCACTCACCTGGCTGGACCCTAGCGACACTGTGCCAAGTGCAGGAGGCAGTCACCAGGACATGTGGTGTGGAATTTCATTTTAATGAAATGTTCAGAACAGGCAGATCTGTAGACTCTGAGACATGTGCTGGCACCACACCAAGAATATAAACATCACGCCAGCAAACATGTACTAATAAAACAGAGTTTGATAAGGTCAGCTATAGGATAAGGGTGGAAACAGAACAAAAAGGAGCTGCCTAAATTGTCCAAGGAAGAGAGAAACAGGAAGCAGCTATTGATGGGCGTGGGGTTACTTTTGATAAAAAGTTCTAAAACTAGACTATGGTAACGGTTTCAAAACTATGTGAATATTTAAAAAGTTACTGAATGACAAACTTCATGTGGAAGAATTTTATAGTATGTGAAGTTACCCTAAAATAGGAGAAAGGAAAGGAAGGAAGAAGGAAAATGGGGAGGGAAGGGGTCTGAATTTGCATAGGATCAAGGGTGATATTTGTAGGAAGGCACCATTTTTGAGGTAGCTAAAATTCATTAGTGATGTGGTAATGAAAGGGAAAAGGGAAGCAATCTGGGGAAATTAAAAATCTTAAGACAAATTTAAAAATCAAATCAAATACTCTATATTGTAATCTGTTTCTCCCTGCTCCATTTTCTATTTTGGAGCAAATCACTGTATACAAAAGAAACTGCTCTTTCCTTTCCCAACAGAAGAGGGCGCAATGCCAGACCTCAGACCTGGGTTCAGCCCTGTTGGCCAGCGTGGCCAGGATTTCTGTCCCGACCTCCTGTTGGGTTGTGCTGTGGTCTGGATGCTGTCATCCAGCAACAGGACACATCCTGGTGTAGAACAGAGCCAAGTGACGACGGAAGGGGAAGAGAGGAGCAGCCCTTTCGCTTAGAGCAGAAATGGAGAGATTTGCCCCAGGTTTCCTTGAAACAGCCATTGCTCTTTGTGCCTTGAAGACCACCTGACTTGTGCCAGCCCGGGCCGTGGACTGTCTGTCAGGAACTCGTCACATGGCAGTGAGACCCAATTAACCAATGAACATGAAGTGGCACAGAGCAGAGTCTGCTCTCCCCGTCACAGTGGGACGGCGAAGTGGGGAACCCTGTGAAGCTTTCCTTCACCAGCAGAGGGAGGTCGGCAGCAAGGCTCTCCGGGAGGAGCAAACCCGCCCAGAGTCAGTGCTGGTGATGATGCAGCCCTGATTTCCCGGTGTGCAACGCTTTCAAGTTTCTATCCACGTGCGTTTGATCCACAGGACCGCTGAACCATCTGCCCCCGTCCTGTGGGAGTGGGGGCGGAAGCTGAGCTCCCCCTGGCTGGAGGGGACCTCATGGAGGAGCCACAGATGAGACGCACACGAAGCCAAGGGGACAGAATGTTAGTTCCCCTCCCACAGTGGCGCAAGAAGGATGCTCTTGTCTTTGACGATGAGCCACTTCTGCTGATTCTCCCTGCAGATAGCCTGGCGCCTGTTTCCCAGCAAGGGTGAGCAGATCCACAGCTGCTCTGTCCCCACAAGTTCTCTTCATCCTGAGGGCCTACAACTTCTCAGTCCCTTTAACTTCAGATAAATATTTAAAAATTCCGACTGTAACAAAAATTCTTCCTTGAAGTAAGCAACATGCTCTTTCCAATCGATTTTCAATGTACCAGTTCCCAACTGCAGAAGTGACATTAAAATGATTTTTCTTTCCCCTTTACATGATGAGAAAAAAAAGGTGGCATGCTGCTTGAGGTTGGGACTAGACAAACTTGTCTTCTCTCTTGCCCTGTTCAGGAAGAGCACCAAAGGCAGAGACCAAATCGAAGCTAGGCTGGGCTTTTGACCTACACAAAAGGGAAAATACATGTCCATGGTTTCAAACTGCTAAGTCTATGGTACTTTATTCGGCAGCAGTAGTAATAATCCTCATGCATATTTTATTTTGCTTCTCTGTAACACTGCCCCCACCAAACTTTGCAGCTAATACCCTGATGAAGCTGTTGTTTTTCTTTTTTTAAAGCCTCTATTTCATTCACGAGGCAGTCGCTGAACAGCTGTTGGATGCCAGGCACTGCTTTGGGCACTGACTGAAGATTGAGTGATGAACAAGCTCAACCTCAAAGGATTCCAGGAGCAAGGACACAATCAACACAGTCCTCATCCGAGGGAGGGAGTGGCGAGGGGCAATGATGAGCACAAATGATGAGCACAAACGATGAGAGTGCAGAGGAGAGTGGTATGTCCAGTTGAGGGTATAGGAAAGGTGGTTTTGGAAGGGCTTTGGGGAGTTTGATAGGGAGCCAACAGGACGCTCAGGAGGGATTTTGTGCAGCAGTGAGTGTCCTTGTGGGACGACAAGACACATTTATGAGGTATGGGCTTCCATGAGTGGTTGATTTCTAAAAATTGAATACTCCAAAAGATATATTACCATTCATCTCCCCAAACCCTCCCCTGCCCTTGAACACAGTGATCCCATTG